AGGTAGGAAGGTAGGAAGGAAGGTAGGTAGGTAGGTAGGTAGGTAGGTAGGTAAGTAGGTAGAGGCAGGTAAGTAGGTAGGGAGGGAGGTAGCTAGCTAGGTAGCCAGGAAGGTAGCTAGGTAGCCAGGAGCAGGTAAAGTCACTGGCTAGGCAGGCAGGCAGGCAGGCAGGCAGGCAGGCAGGCAGGCAGGCAGGCAGGTAGGTAGGTATGTATCGATCCTTAGTTTCTTATGTCGTTCTTTCATAGCTTTTGTATGTCTTTACTTCATCACATTTGTCTTGACTAGCTGAATGCGTGTGTCTTCGCAAAGTCGTGCATGCGCTTCTCACTGCCTTCTTTATCTATTGCTCAAGTTATATGCATCTGCTTTTTCAGGCTCTGTATGTACCTTCATACCTAAGTCACTCACAATGTGTATACATATACAGATGGACAGACAAATAGATAGATGGACAAATTGATTGATTGATTGATTGGCTGGCTGGCTGGCTGGTTTGTTGGTCGATTCGTTGTGGTTGATTAGTTGATTGGGCTGGGTGGTTGGGTTGGTCGTGGTGGTTGGGTTGGTTGGGTTGGTGGGTTGGTTGGGTTGGTTGGGTTGGTTGGGTTGATTGGGTTGGTTGGGTTGGTTGGGTTGGTTGGGTTGGTTGGGTTGGTTGGGCTGGTTGGCGGGGCGGGGCGGGCCTGGGTGGGGCACAGGACGGGGCGGGCGGGGTTGGGGCTGGCTTGCGTTGGCTTGGTTGGCTTGGGTTGGCTTGGGTTGGCTAGGGCGGCTAGGGTTGGCTTGGGTTGGCTTGGGTTGGCTTGGGTTGGTTTGGGTTGGGCTGGCTTGGATTGCGTTGGGTTGGCTTGGCTTGGGTTGCGTTGGGTTGGGTTGGGTTGGGCTGGCTTGGGTTCGGTTGGGTTGGGTTGGGTGGGGTTGTTGGGTTGGTTGGGGTGCAGTTGGTGTGCGGTTGGCTGGGTTGAGTTGGGTTGGGTTGCGGTGTTCGGTGTGCGGTGCGGGTGGGGTGGGGTGGGGTGGGGTGGATGGTGGGTGGGTTGAAGGTATACACGCGACGCACATATGCAGTACATACCCCCGAACACTGCAAATCATGCAAGCAATGTTTGAGAAGTCGGACACCCCAGGAGAGTAATCGAAGGAGTCGAGCCAAAGCTGGCGCACCTCTGAGTTGCCAGCGTCTTTGCCAGTGCCTTGGATAAAAAAAGTGCTGCAAAGAGAGAAAACCGGACATTTGCGCTCTGCCTCGGATTTCGAAGAGACGACCGCAGGGAGAGTCTTCCTGCGCTGGTAGCCTCATGCTCGAGGTAGCAGCTGAGGATTTAATGTCTGGGAAGTGCTGCGGCCCCGGCCAGGCTTCGTGGACACGCTTTTGGCTTCCTCGGCTCAGCTTCGAACTGCTTTTTCACAAGATTTCACGCAAGAACATGTCGGCACGAGGGTTAAGACGGTTGACAGGAGTGTTAACTCGAACAGCCTTGGGCATAGCCTTATATAGGCCTTCCGTCCTTCATCAGCTACGTACATTGCATTGGAAAAACACTTCACGTCGTTGCCGCTCAGATGCAGCATCGCGCCCAAGAGGCATGACACGACGCCCTTTCTGGAGCCTGGGCTCCAAGCATACCGGGAAACTCTTGTCGGAGTCAGAAGTGACTAAGACCCCTGCGTCACACGCACACGCACGGCGGCATCTGCATCGGGCTCATCGCGATCCGACGAGTTGCCTGCACCCTCGAGATTCGAGCCAAGCCGGCTGCAGCTCGCGCACCCGTCGGCGCCAGCAGGGTGACGAGGATTTCGCACAACGCTAGCCGTGCTCTGCGTTGCCCTGCGTTGCCCTGCGTTGCCCTGCCTGACTGAGGCTGCTCATCCTGGCACCGAAGTTCAGTTCCGCGCTGGAAGCTGGCTTCCTCACAGGACTGCGATCCCAACCGCTGCTGACTGGCCCACCGACATTCCGACAGCGGCACCCGGTCAAATCTGGCCAGCCAGAATCTGTACATTCCCAGATGTTGAAGCAGCAGACCTGCCGACGCACCAATCGTGTCGCAAGCACAAGGGCTGACGCCAACCTGGTTTGTCAGGTCGATTGCCTGAGTACAGAGAGTGCAGTGAGCTATCGGTCGCGAGAATAGCTTTCTCAGCACTGTGCCATTTCCACACAGTCTCCAAGTTCCAGCGGTTTCACGAAAGCGGACGCCCTTGAATGGCATCCCACAGTGCCCGCACCCAAAGAGTTGTGGCTTCAAGCGTTTAGGGAGCAACCTTTCGAGCTCCGCAAAAGCTCGCATGCAAATGCGTCCTCGCTGATTCACCTCCCGCGGTTTGAACATTGGAGAAGTCCGATGGCAACCCTGGACAGCTGTAGGCACCCGGCAAATATTGAGACTATCCTCTGGATGTTCTTGGCACCTAGGGGCTCATCCGAGAGACTGGCGAAGACGCTGCCTTTCGCGCTGATTTTCTTTGCGGCCAGGACGCAGGGCAGACGTTGGGAGAAGACAAAGCCAACGCCATCGGCTCGGCTCAGCTCGCCGGAGGTGAACTCGATTTCGCAAAGCGAAGAAACCGCAAGTGCCCTCAGGAAGCCCGAGCCTGGACCAAATATCTTTGGAGCCCGTCTTGATGTACTTGTGATTCAGAAACCACAGACAATCGTCCCTCGTATCCCACCTGACTGGCGTGGAATCCTCAATGACCTCCAGGCAACACTCCGGCCTTTGTGAACTGGCGGAAATCCGGCTGCACTATGCCCATACCTTTGGTCTCCTGATGGCCGCAAAAGGCAGGAGGGGACCCATGTCCGGGCAAAATGCACTAATGCACTATCGAAACTCTTTTGGAGCTGTGGCGAGCAAAGACTCTCTCACAGGTCTTTCTCTGCAGTGCAGAGACAATTTGGCCAAACCATGCCAAATGCGTAGCCTCGACCTCTCTGGATTCGGGGACCAAGATACACCCAACGTTGAAAGTAACGTGGGTTACCCACAAACGGACAGCAATTGCTGCCCGATTGCAGGCTTCAAAAAGACAGCATTCAAGCATCTGCTGTGCACCAAGATGTCAGGTTTGAAAGCCAACGTTTGGGGAGGCACTGCCTTCAACAAATGCCTTGCCTGCTCCGAGCCATTCCAGCCCAGCAGGGGATGCTCTTTCTGAAGCTGTGTTCAGCAATGCTCAGCTTCCTGGAGCACAAAACATCGAGTGCCACAGAGGCCCCAGGCTTCAATATGCCCCAATGCAACGAGTCAAAACCGCAGGGGCAAGCCTGAAGCCTGCTAGCTGCTAGCTGCCAAGCATCGCAACCGGCAGGCTGCCTGGCTTTGCCCCCCAACACCGTCAGCCCTTCGATACGAAGTACGTGAAGAAGCATCAGGGCCTCTCCTGTCTACGGAATCTGGAGCAACGGATATGATATCAATATATGAAGCGGCTACTGTACCTGAAGATGTTCGTCGTCGGCAAGTGTCGAAGTGCGAAATGACTTGCTTACGCCTTCCTGTTCTCTGAATGACTCTCCGACATCCTCAGGCGGAACGCACTCTTTCAAGTCGCAGCTCTCGGGAAATCCGAGACAAAGCTGCCGGAAAATCAAAGAACGAAACACGTCACCGGCGAGCCCTAGACCCTTCCCTTCGCTTGCAGCGGACCTTACCTTGCTTTTTGTAGCTTCCACTCCCCCGGCTGCAACTGAAACTATGTGGGTCCTCCCCGCAGGACAGGCAGGGGGAAGCAAAGTGAGCCAAAGTTTGAGATCCTGCCACACCTGGTTGTGACTCTCGCATGGAGTTGGACTGGCTTCAGTTATATGGAAGGTGAAGCTCTTCTTCGAGCAAACTGGAACCTCTATAACTTGTCGAGGTGCTCCTCTTTCTGGAAGGATAAGAGTGGACTCAAACCTTGAGTTGACCGGTTTCCAGTGGACATCGCCCAGCGCTCCACTTCTGCAATCGCGGTCCCTGTGCCGTCGTGCCGGTGGTGGATTGTCTTTTGACGTTTAGGTCTAGGTGCTAATAAATAATAAAGGCTGAGACGTCGTCGCGCACGCTTCCCGGTAGCAGTGGCCAGCGGAAACAAGTTGCTTGTCGATTGAAAGAACACACTTCCCACACCCACCCCTACCTCAAGACATTATCAATGTGTTGCTGAGCGAAGGGATCGGGATCAGTGTCACTGAGACTTATAGGAATGGAATGACTTGACGTCCGAATTACTTGCAGGATCCAAGCGCAACCTCCAGTCACGCAGGGATTTAGACGCCGGGCCGGGCCTCGCAAACAGCGTCTGCTCCACAATCTGGTGGCAGAAGATGGAAAGATGACAGACTGTGCAGCTAATTAGGACTCCTCTTGTGTGTCTCCGGTCTGCTTGCCCGTCACCATCATCCTTAACCCGGGAGACAAGCTGGACGCATGGCTGGCTGCAAAGGTCTTCTGGTCTTCTTGTCAAGATGCTTCATGGCAGTGCGCATGTCTATCGCGGAGGTTCGATCTTGCAGTAGATCCAACCTCGGCACAGATCTGCCACAGCTGGACAACGATGCTCCAATCCACTCACTCCAAGCCACACTCCGCAGTGTGAGCCCCTGTGGTCCTGCGGCGACTCAGCGAATCAAGTTGGCTGTGTCACGGGTGCTGCGCACTCGCCTCAGACAGTGCGATATCCAGAGCAGTTCGGCCACCTAACAGGGTAAAGACGAACTGCTTCAGAATAGGACTGTAACGGCAGCAAACCTGTGCCTGACGTCCGCTGATTCCTGTCTGCACCCTCCTCCAGAAGAATCCGAACCTTAGCCACTCAGTCATTCCATTCCTTCTGCGGAGCTCTTTTGTGCCTTACGCTGCCACAGTATAGGTAGAGGAACATGCTTCATTGCCGCAATTGTCTCGAACGACTAAACCGGAACGAGCGATGCTTGACAGCAGCCATGAAAACAAAAAGCAAAACGCCTGGGTCAAGGTTTCACTAAAACCATTCCGCACAGCTGGTTGGGACCTATCGAGCTTCTGTGTAGCTCCTGCGACAACGCCGGAGGTTTCCCGCGAGATCAATTTAAATGACGGAGGATGACGGAGGTTCAGAGTCTTGGCCCCCAGCTTCGGAGCCCTGCGAGACCTACAAGCCCCCATCGAGCGAAACCTGAGTGAGTGAAGCCCTTGAAAGCTTCCATGGACCGTCCAAAGAGCACCTACGGGCCAACGAGGCTCACAGACAAGCAGCTTGGGGCTTGGCCCACTGCAGCTTCAGGGTTGCAGCCAGCTTGGATGTTTTCGTAGCGAGATGCGAAGCGTGCGTTGCGCTCTTCGGGCGCCGAACTTCGGACCCCGCGAGCCGAGGATGGTTCAAACGAGCTCTGAGCTATTCTGAGCTTCTGCGGACCATCAGGGAAGGGGGTTCCCATGAAAGCTGTGGCAAGCTACTGCGCCCAAACTGCCGCACTCGATCTCGGAACGCAACTAGATACTGCGTCACTTTACAGGGACCGCGTCCGACATGTGAGACCTGCTAGATTTTCCCATGCTTGCAGGTTTGAACCGGTTGCCAGCCTGCGTGAGCTTAGCATCTGCGCTGTTGCAACCCTATTCAGCGAGGGTCCGACATGCACGTGGCTCGGGCTGGGGTCGGATATGGCTCCAGAATTAGTTTAATTATGGTTCTTTTTTCCCGGTATTTTTTGTTTTCCTTTCTTTGAAGCAAACTCTTGCTTCGGAGGATTCAAGTTTTAGGGTTTGCATGCGCGTGGAGCCATTGTCAAGCGCTACTTTTAAGGGTTTGCCTGTGCATCAAGCTACTGCGGGATTTTATTGCTGCTGGAGCTGGTGCTTGTCGTGCCGCTGCTGTTGCTGCTGCTGCTGCTGGTGCTCATATATCTTTATTAATCCGCGCCCTCGTTTGGCGATTCCGCATCATCATATATCTTAAGCACGCCCCTTCAACTGGCGATTCCGTTTGAATCATATATCTTCAACTTCCCTCTCATTTGGCGATTCCGGCTCAACATAAGTCCTAATCACGCCCCCTCATTTGGCGATTCACGCCCCATCATGTGGCGATTCCGGTAAATCATATAATTATCTTAATCTGCTTTGTCGTTAATATATTTGCAAAGGATAACCTCGATTTTCTGATGTGTTCATCAGCGGCGCAGCAAACGCACTGATCGCGTGATGGGTTTCAATAAAGGAAACTCATACACTTTGAAGCAAGCTTGCACTGCTTAAAACAGCGGGGGGGATTGGGGGGTGCAGCCCCCGCCCCCATTGCAAACAGGATGCTCACACGATAGGGTTGAAAAATACTCCCATGCTCCGAAGAAAGCTTGCACGGCTAAAAATAGTGGTGGAGTGGGGGGCAACCCTCCCAATTGCAAAGAGAATGCTCGTATTATGGGTTTCAAAAAAAAATCATATGAATTGAAGCAAGCTTGCACGGCTCAAAAGCAGGGGGGTTTTGGGGGGGCGCAGCCCCTGCCAACACAATGCTCGCATGATGGGTTTCAAACAAAGTCAAATACTTTAAAACGACCTTGCTCGGATTAACAAAGCGAAAGCTTCCGGATCATCATATACCTTAAACACGCCTCCTCATTTGGCGATTCCGGATTCTTCGTACATCCTAAGCACGCCCCTCATTTGGCACTTCCGGTTCAACATACATCCTAAGCACGCCCCGTCATTTGGCGATTCCGGATCATCATATATCTTAAGCACACCCCTTCAATTGGCGATTCCGTCTGAATCATATATCTTCAACTTCCCTCTCATTTGGCGATTCCGGCTCAACATAAGTCCTAATCACGCCCCCTCATTTGGCGATTCACGCCCCATCATGTGGCGATTCCGGTAAACCGTATATCTTAAACTGCCTTCTCATGTTGCGATTCCGGCTTCATCATATCTCTTAAACACGCCCCCTCATTTAGCGATTCCGGTTCATCATATATCTTAAACACGCCCCCTCATTTGGCGATTCCGGTTCATCATACATCCTAAGCACACACCCTCATTTGGCGCAAACCAATTGAAATTTCGAACACAACAAACAACACGAACAACTGAAACCAATTTGCAATTCCGGTTCATCATAACCAGAGGACCAAACAAACAGAAGACCAGGGGAGGGCAGGACCCCGAGACACGGCTGCTGCTGGGCAACAAGTTCGGTGTGTCCCATCCGGGCCGCGACGTGGATCGGATACAGCGTCTCGCCTCTCCTCGAGCAGTTAAGTCGGAGTTGGCGCTGATTTAAGCCGTTTGCAGTGGCCAGTCGGCAAAACGCTGAGGACTGGACTTGAAGAAAGGGAAGCAAGTCGCTGGTGCCCGTGCTTCGCCTTGTGTGAGACTGACCAGTTGAAATTTAGCAGCGATGCCTCGTGGAAACGGCTGCATTCTCAAGCTGAGGCATTGCCCTGCCCACGTTTCGGACCTGTCTCGTATGCGTCACCGCATCGATTCCTGCTATATCAGTGTACGGAAGAAGTTGAGAAAACCGAAACTCGAAACCGAAACCTATGGATCCGAGAGTCTGATGTCGCGGCTGAAGCGATGCTGCTTGAGAAACTCATTCAGCAGCTCCTCTGACTCGAGTTGTGCACGTGGAAGCAGGCAAGTGGAATCCAAGCTTGCCGACAGAACTTGAGACCCCGCCCAGCATCTCCGGGCTTCGCAAAGCAGTGTAGTCAGACAGCGAGAAGGGAATAATTCTACCAGTAGCGGCTTGTCACGGCTTGTCGATTGCACAATGCAGATCGCGCTCCCGCCGTCTGGCTT